TCAATTCAAGAAATAGTTGGGAGGTGAAATTGGCAAGACTTAATGAGGTCATCCTTTTATAAGTCCATAATCAAAATATGTAAGCAAGAAACTCAAAGTGATCAGGACTGATGGATCCATTAAAAAAATACTTAGGAATGGGGCACCTGGGTGGCTCAGTCGGTTGAGCATCCGATTTCAGCTTAGGTCAAGATCTCACAGTCTGTTAGTTCGAGCCTCACGTCAGGCTCTGTGCTGACAGCTCAGAGCCTGGATTCCGCTTTGAATTCTGTATCTCCTTCTCTCTCTACCCCTCCCCTGCTCACACTCTATCTCTGTCTCTCAAAAATAAAGATTTTTTAAAAATTTAAAAAATACTTAGGAATAAATAGAATAGAAATAAAAAAACTTACACTTTGATAACTATAAAACATTGTTGAAAAGAATTAAAGTCCTAAATAAAAGACATACCATGTTGTAATGCAATCCCTAACAGTTGGGTTGTTGTTGTTTTGTTTTTCCTAATGCAAGTGCCTGACTTAAACACACTGCTAGTCCCACCCCCTCACCTCTCAATGGTTGATTTTGATAACTGATCATTTCAGCCAATTGTTTTTCTTTTTTTTTAATCTTTTTTTGATGTTTATTTATTATTATTGAGACACCAGGAGAGACAGAGCATGAGCATGGGAGGGGCAGAGAGAGGAGAAGACACATAATCTGAAGCAGGCTCCAGGCTCTGAGCTGTCAGCATAGAGCCCAATGTGGGGCTCAAACTCACAAACTGCAAGATCATGACCTGAGCCAAAGTTGGACGCTTAACCGACTGAGCCACCAAGGCACCCCAGCCAAATGTTTTTCTCTTTCCATAATTTAAATTCTTGCTCTTAGGTTTTAAAGTCACCAATAAAGAATGAGCTCACAAAACCCTAGGTTCCCACCCTGACCCCATCAACCTAAATAGAAGCAGAACCCTAGTCCTGTGCACACAAGTGTTCTCCCTTTGCCTCTCCCTCTTCCCCCAGCATCCCTAGACCTTGCTGTGTGACACTACATGTGCTGTGTAATTTCCAAGTAATAAACCTTGTCTCTTTTGGAGTTTCTTGATGGTTACTGCTAAGGGTGTCTTGTAATCATAATAAGAACCACAAGGATCAGAGCAGGTCCAAACACAACACTGGTTATCAAAAGGCTGAGACTGGCACAAAATACACATTCATAGATTAGAGGATGTAATATGGATAAGATGGAAATACTCACTAAATTGGCCCACAAATTCAATGCAATCTTTATCAAAATCCCAGCTTTCTTTTCAGAAATTGACAAATTGATGCTAAAATTCATTTAGAAATGCATAGCCAAAACAATACTGAAAAAGAGGAGCAAAGTGTGAGAACTCACAATTTCCCGATTCCAAAACTTATTAGAAAGCTACAATAATCAAGATGGTATGGTACTGGTATAAGGATAAACATATAGGTAAACAGGATAGAATCAAGAGCCCAGAAAAAAGTGGAGAAAATATTAGTCTTTTAAAGAAATGGTGCTAGAACAACTGAATATCCACATGTAAGAAAATGAAGTTGGCCACCTACATTACACCATATAGAAAAATTCAAAATAGATTTAAGAATTAAATGTAAGAGTAAAACTGTAAAACTCCTAGAAGAAAACATGGGAATAAATCTTCATGATCTTGGACTAGGCAATGGTTTCTGAGATATGACACAAAAGCCAAAATATCAAAAAAAAAAAAAGGATAAATTTGACTTCATCAAAATAAAAAACTTTTATGTTTCATTTTTTAAATTTTTTAATGTTCATTTTTTTGAGAGAGACAGAGTACGAGCCAGGGGAGGGACAGAGAGACAGGGAGACAGATTCTGAAGCAGGCTCTAGGGCCTGAGCTCTCAGCACAGAGCCCGACGCAGGGCTCAAACTCACCAGCTGCGAGATCATGACCTGAGCCAAAGTCAGACACTTAACTGACTGAGCCACCCAGGCACCCCGAAAACTTTTACGTTTCAAATAGAACTCTCAAGACTGTCTTGATAATGACAATATCAAGACAATATCAATTGTGAAAAGACAATCCACAGAATCAGAGAAAATATTTGCAAATCATCTATATGATCCAGAATATATAAAGAATTCTTACTACTCAGTAATAGACAAATAACCCAAGTAAAGATCGGTGAAGAATTTGAATAGACATCTCTCCAAAGAGGATAAACAAATGGCAAATAAGCACATGAAAAAAAATGCTCAACATCATTAGCCATCAGGGAAATGCAAATCAAAATCATAATCACATACCACTTTACACCCAGTAGGATAGCTATAATTAAAAAGACAAACAACAAGTGTTCAAAAGAATGTAGAGAAATTGAAACCCTCATATACCGCTCATGGGGATGTAAAATAGTGCATAATCCAGCAATTCCACTTCTATGTATATTGACAAGAGAAATGAAAACGTATGTCCACACAAAAACTTGTTCATGAGTGCTCATAGCAGAATTATTCATAATAGCCAAAAGTGTGGGACGAGATAAAACAAAATGTGGTATATTCATACAATGGAATATCACTCAGCAATACAGAGAAGTGAAATACTAACACCTGCTGCAACACAGATGAAGTTTGAAAACATTATGCTAAGAGAAAGAAGCCAGACACAAAGGGTTATACATTGTATTTAGTTTATATGAAATGTCCAGAATAGGCAAATCAATAGAGACAGAAAAATTAGTGGTTGCTTGGTGCTGGGAGTGGGGGAGTCGGGCGGGGGGTGGGGGGGGGACTGGGATTAACTCCAAGTGGGTATGGGTTATTTTTGGGGGGGTGATGAAAGTGTTCCAAAATTAGATTATGGCTATAGATGTACAACTCTGTGAATATGCTGAAAACTATTGAATTGCATACTTTAAATGGGTGAATTGTGCAGCATGTGAATTGTATCTCAATAAAACTTTTACAAATACCTAAGGTTACAAAGAAAACTAGTTACACGGATCTAGGTTCATCAAAATTAAAAACAAAATTCTTGGGGCGCCTGGGTGGCTCAGTTGGTTGAGCGTCTGATTTTGGCTCAGGTCATGACCTTGCAGTTCGTGAGTTCATGCCCCACATTGGGCTCTGTGCTGACAGCTCAGAACCTGGAACTTGCTTTGGATTCTGTGTCTCCTTCTCTCTCTGCCCCTCCCCCACTCACGTGTGAGCGCTCACTCGCTCTCTCAAAAATAAACATTAAAAAATTTAAAAAGACAAATTCTTGATGAAGAATTAGATGTGCTTCTTTAAGAAAGAACTAAATAACAAGATCCAGGTCTGATAGCTATCTTCATTTTGATGTAGTGATAAGTATAAATTTTGAGACATGTGCAAGGACAACACCACAAATGATTGATGGTTTCATTATCACCTCTAAAGAACAGAGTTGAAAACAGGTGTGGGGCAGGGTGGGGGGTGGAGGGCAGAATAATCAAACCAGCTCATGTTTTCCTCTGATGAAGCTCCAGCATTAAAAAGCAGGTATAAGACACTTCCTTTCTGTGAGGCTGGAATTTGCAAGAGGGATTCCAGCCTAGTGCTTTCAGCATGTTTATGCCAAGTTGGCTATGCAAGCTGAATCACTGCCAAGCTGCTTAGATCTCTAGCTGTGCCCTGTAGTCACCTTGAATACAAGTAGAACAGGGCAGGTGGGAACCCAGTGATGTCTGGTTGCCAGGGAAAAGCAGGTTTGGAGGGGTAATGGAAAACTGACACAAAGAGAAAAGAAAGCACTAAGACATCTAAGGGTTCCGAATGCCCTCCCTCCTGTCCCCAACCATAAAAGGTGATGTGACCAGAATAGCATGGGGCATCTGGGGCTAGAATTGGTGTGGTATTTTCCCCCAAATTTCTCCATGGATTGTCCCCTCTACCAGATTCCTACCCTCAGGACTGATATTCAAACATTTGACAAGTGGTAACAAATGAGCACAGACCAAGACTGGCAAATTCCAGTCATAGTACTAGAATAGGGTCCTAGAGGTCTTCCACTGTGACAGACATTACTTAACTGCAGTCACCAGATTGTGGGGAGGTCCCAGAGGTCTTAGAGGCAGGATTAAGGCAGTGGCTCTTTGTCATCTGGCATGAAGTAGATTCAACTCCTCTGCTAACAACTAAGATGGCTGTACTAATACACATCACCCCAAAGGTAGGATGGATAGGCAGAGAGAGGAGAACCTCCTTAAGGCTTTATAAATTAACGTTGTACAAACGGTTGATGCTTGCATTCATAAGACATCTCACTGATTGAACAGGTGGAAATTTTCCCTCTTGACAGAACATAAGGTCCAAAAGAGGTTCTGGTGTGCCACTCCAAGCAGCTTTTCAAATTTAGACTCGAGAAAGCTGCTTAACTATGAAAGTAGGGTTATATTTGGGTTAAAAGTCTGTTCCCCACCTTTTCATCATCTAGGAAGAAACAAAGCAAGCAACTTGAGATGGGGACCAAAGAGTACTGGCCCACACTCCCAGCTTCCCCAGATCTGAACACTGAGACCTGTGTGTCCAGTAGGGCTCTCTCTCCTTGGACTGGGCGTTAACCCCCCTAGGATCCTCCTTCCACAGACTCATCCTTCAATTCATACCCTAGGTTCAATTCTTCTTCCCATAAAGAGCAAGTCTCCAAACAGAGAAGGAAATTGGATAAGCTAGATCCTTTAGGCACAGGGAAAACACATCCCTGGACTATGCATGGAGCTCCTGAGCAGTAAGAGAGGAGGTGAGCCATTTTAACGATAAACATTAATTTTTTTATTAAATTTCTAATCAAATACAACAATAATTTCTTTTCCTTCATTAAAAAAACAACTATTTACAACATTACCAATTTGGGAAAAGATAAACAAAAGAGTAAAAAGAAAGAAAAGTGATTAAAAGACAAATTCCAAGACAGAATAAATAACAGCTTACTTAAATGCCTGCCTGGCCCTGGCTGCTGCCAGAGTGCCAGATCCTCAGCCTCAGAATTAGCAGTAGTTCAAGATATCCTCCAGGTTCAATGTGTCCAGGGGGGGGATTTTGGTGACTTCAAAGAAGACCCTGCAAAAGGAAGAGGGGCCTGCTCAGTGTAAAATGGGCCAAAGCAAACAGGGTCCATGGACTAAGTGGGACATAGGGCTCTTGGTTCCCTATCTTGCTTTAACCCTAAAGCAGAAAGTAAAGTGAACAGTACTAAATCTTTTTCCTTAAGTGAAGCTAGCCTGCCTCCCAATGGCTAAGCACAAACTCATCCTCACTGGAGCTTGGTACTTACCGGTGAGAATACTTGGAATGCACAGTCCTGAGCCTACTGCAAGGATGCAAAGTCAGCAGGATGTTTAGCTGCTTGACCAAGGGGTGAAGATCAGAGGTCTTGTAGCCACTGCAATACTCCAGGGCAGGAGCCTGGAAGAAGCAACATGAACAGTGACTTTTACCACAGGAAGTAGACCCTTCCTCTCTCTCTACTACCTCAAGTCCAAACTTCCTATACATGGTATAGGTAGGGAAGATAGTCAAACACTTCAAAAATGCATACAGTGGAGACACTGACCAACAATTATAGAGTACTTCCTAGAAGACTAGGTTCCAGCTGTGAACTAGTGGTATGGCTATCCATAGTACGTATGTACCATATACCTATACTTACCAATTGAACATTAGCCCCGTGGTAGGTATTCATGTAAGTCAAAGTCCACTAAAGAATCTAAGGAACATGACTGGCTTTGTAATGTACTTGCTCTTAGGTGAAGAGCGGGTGGCCAGGCAAACCTCAGAATAAACTTAAGGTCCCAAATCAACAGACCACAGGAATTTAAGGCAGCTCTTCTTCCCTGGCTCTAAGAGCTATCATCCCATGCATTTATTTTCTCATTCAATTTTAAGGCTTCCCATTATGTGGCAGAAGTAATATAGCAGAGCATTTGAGAGCAAAGGTTCCATAGGCAAACTGCTTGGGTTCAAATTCTAGCTCTACCAATAGCAGGAACTTGAGCCAGTTATTAATTTCTTGGTGCCCCAGTTTCCCACTATGCCAAATGGGGATCATTACAGTAATTACATCATAGGATTAAATGAGTTAATATGCACAATGCATACGGAACAGAGTCTAGCACATAGTAAGTGCCTGAGACATGCTAGCTAGGATTAATATTACCAAGTCCTGCATAGGCTGCTGTGAATGCAAAGATGACCCAGGTTCCTGCCCCTAAGGAACCTGTAGTGGGGGAGACAGACATGCATGCAGAGAATTACAGAACATGTGGGAAAGGCTATAATGGAAGTGAGAATGGGACACTGGAGGAACAGAGCAGCAGGACCCATGAACTTTCTCCAGGAGTCACAGAAAGCTTTGTAGAGGAAGACACATCTGCAATGGGTGTTGAAAGTCAAGTGGGACCTCCACAGGTAGAGAAAAAAAAGGTTTATTCTGTAAGGCAGTGGTTTTCTAAAAAATGTCTTAAATTATTTTCCCTGAACTCCTTTTTTTTTTCAAACATCTGGAAGCCCAAATATCTTACCTGCAATTAGGGGTGGGAGCTGACAAACCCACCAGTTTGTATCCCTTTACCTTTTAGATGGCCCCTGAGACACTTCTAAAGGAATCCCAGGGCTCTGCTAAATACTGTTTAGAAACAACTGCCACAGGGAAAGGGGAATCATTGGCATGCTGAGCAGGGGAGTAACACAAGGGGTAACACATTATATTGAGTGTGTCAAATAAGATCAGTGGCCCCATTGTCACTGCACAGGCTCAGGCCCCAATGCTTCATCTTGACTATTATGAAAGCCTACTCACTAGTGTTCCCACTTTTGCACTCTCTCTCATTTAATTCACTTTCTATACTGCTATACCGGTGCTGTTTCCAAAACACAGAAACACAAGTAGGTCACTCCTCTGCATAAAAACTTTCCAACACCTTAGTATAGAGTGGGTCTCAGCTTGGTATCAAAGGTCTCTCACAATCTGATGACACCCTATTATTCTGGTCTCATCTCTCACTATTTCCTATTAATATATCCTCTGCTCTATCTATAGAAAGTGCCTTATTCTGCCCTGAAAACATCATACTTTTTTCTTATTGCCTTCACATCTGTTCAATTCTCATTCCCTCTACCAAGAATGTCTTCTCTCACACGTTCCTATGAATCTTTCAAGACCCAACTTAAAAGTACCCTCCTCTGTGAAGCCTTTCTTATCTATAGAAGCAGTATACACAGCACAGAGGACTGTGGAGCCATACTACCTGGATTCAGATCAGGGTTCACATTTAGCCAATACTCACTGGTACAGCCATGCCAAGTATTAAAACACTGATATATTTCTGTAGTGGTTAGCAAGCAGTTTGCTTCCCTGAGCCCCTCAACTGTCTCCCTCAGCACCTATCACATTTCCCCAGGATCCAAAGGTCAAAGCCTGGCATAGCATGGGGCATCTGGGGCCACAGTTCCAAAGCTATGGCCACATCACTTCTGATTACACAGTAGGTATACAATGTGAACACTACTCCTAATCCCCAAAGACTAGCTCTGCCCCTCATTAGCAAAATCTGGGAAGTTATTTCTTATCTGTAAAGTAAGGATAATTGTACTGATTTTGTGAGGATTAAACATTAATAAAGTACTCACATCACTGTGTAAGCACTCAATAAATGCTAGGCATTTTTTTTCTTTTTCATCAACATCACTGCCATTTGTTGAATGCTTTCTCTGTCCCAAGAAATTTCAGTATGACTTGTCGAGTTCACACAACTGTTTATAAGATTCTTTCTCAGTACACATAGCTTTTCCCAACAGTAGTAGTTCCAGGATTTCTAGGTTGGAAGAGCTTCGGAGTTTTATTTTGTACTGGGGAAGAAGGCTTTAGGCACCTTCCTCTTCAGAGAAAGGTGTACTGTACCTCTGAGTCCCCCCATTAGACACATGGACAGTTGCTTTCACAACTCTGTTTTCTGGGTCTGTGCCTCTCAAATTCTGTTCCAATAAGCTCCCTCATGGAAGTGGAGAGCAACCTTGCTGAGGGGACTGCATGGGGCAGGGATAAAATGGGGCTAGGTGAGAAGGGGGCCCATCCTACCCTCTGCTGCAACCAGAATAACTTCAAACGAGTCTGTTTCGTGATATTGGGCTTTCTTTGGAACAAGGGGTACTGTGACTAAGAAAATAAAATAAAATAATTTAAAACCATTGCTGTAAAAGCCCTTTAGGCAGCCAGGCTCCTAACACATTGAGATGTCAAAGAATTTATAACCGTGGGTATGCAGCGGTTTTGTCACTGAGTTTCCCATGACCCTAATTTACACCTTCCTCCTGAATGGACCCTGTGTTTTTTTTCTTTTTAATTGAAGTACAGGCGACATACAATACTACATTAGTTTCAGGTGTATAACATAGTGATTCAAAATTTACATACATTATGAAATGTTCACCAGGATAAGTGTAGCTACCATCTGCCCCCATACAACATTATTACAATATTACTGACGATATTCCCTATGCTGTACTATACATCCTATGACTTATTTATTTTGTAACTGGAAATTTTTACCTTTTAATACCCTTCACCTATTTCATCCATCCCCTCACCCCTCTCCCCTCACCAGTTTGTTCTCCATATTTATGAATGTTTGTTTCATTTTTTTTTAGATCCCACATATAAGTGAAATAATACAGTATTTGTCTTTCTCTTAATTCACTTAGTATAATATCCTCTAGGTGTATCCATGTTGTCACAAATGGGAAGATTTTATTCTTTTTTACGGCTAAGTAACATTCCAGTGTGTGTGTGTGTGTGTGTGTGTGTGTGTGTGTGTGTACACACATCTTCTTTATTCATTCATCCATCAAAGGGCACTTAGGTTGCTGACTCTGTGCTTTTAAATCTCAACCCCTTGCCCCCAGCAAGTGTTTGTTTACCCAGTGTCCGAGCTTCTTCATGTAGAGGGCCAGGAGGAAGGAGCCAGCAGCTAGCTTGGAAGCCCTCTCCTGGATAAGGTCATATTCCTGCAGAGTCATCTCACAGATGAAGCGGGACAAAGTCAGCGTCTTCATGCTGGCATGGAGGCACTAAAGGTAGCAAGAACACTGGCTCAGCAACCAATTCAGAAAACCAGCACCAAGCAGAAGACCCCCTGTACCCACTCTCTCTAGTTATCCGAACTCAGGCCTAAATGGTTCTCTGCCTGAACAAGTTACCTGTCCTGCTACCATGACTCATATGAAGGACCCTACCCGCCAAAGTATAGAATCTTTAGCGGGGGTGGGATTCTGAAATCGGCAATAGGATTTGCTCCCTTTAGGGTTTTTAGCCAATTTATCAATTTATCCAACTGTAACTCTGCACCTGGCTCCACCCTAGAAATATTCCATGCCTCAAAAGAACTTCTCTTTTCTTGTTTGACTCTTTTTAAAAATATATATAACCAATAACACACAGACAAAAGTACACACGTGTACTTGTATAATACAATAAATAATTACAAAGTGACCTCCCCTGTAACTAATACTCAGATGAAGAGAGCTTTACCAGCATCTCCCCCAAACTTCCCACATATTCCTTCCTGATCAAGGAATCTTCTTCCCCTCCCCTACGCTGCCTTTACCTAAACTTAAGGGCACGCCACGAAAATCTGCAATTTTGTTACCCCCCACACTTCATAAAGATTGCCAATCTAGGAGGACAGATTGAAGAAGAAATT